TGGTCTGTTGTTAAAGTGCCGTCTAGTTGGTTCCAACTCATAGCGACCATATACGCTAATCACCCGTAAATTGTTCCTCTTCATATTATTCCACATAACTCTTAGATTTTCTTTGGATTTTTTCATTCTTTTTTTTTTTTTCTAACTCTTCTTCTAGCCTAGTGGTATTGAGAGATTTATCTTCAAGCTCACTAATTTAAGCTTCTGTTGCTTCACATCTCCTCTTTTTCCCTTTCAATATATTGTCCATTTCTGATACCTTGGTATTGATTATCTAGATTTCTAATTGCAGATTTTACATTATTTCAAAATTTGCATTTATTTCATCTATTTGTTCTTTTAGTGTTTCCCTGAATTCTTCTGAAGTTTTTACTGTGTTATCCTTGCTTTCCTCCATCTTTCTGTCAATCCTTTGAAGGTACCTAATTACCATTATTTTAAATTATTTGTCAGTTAGTTCTATTACCTTTTCTTGCTCAGAAACATTTTTTTTGGCTCTGTCATTGGGTCTGCATCTTGCTCATTTGTTTAGTCATTCTTTGTTGTTTCTTCATGTGAGCTAAAATTGTCTGTTGTCTCTGGGGCTTTGTGAGGTTGTTGTATTTGTAAAAACAGACAGTTCAGTTGTTGGACCTGGAGGGGAGAAATCTCCAAGGTCTCCTGCAATTCATAGAGCTCGTTAGGTGGTTGTGGACGGGATATGACAGCAGAGTTCCTGGCCCAGATGGAGTTCCTATTGGCCTTGTTATTATCTATGTTTGGGGCACTCAATCCAGAAGTAGTTTGTAGGGGCCCTTGATGGAGTTGGTTTCAGAGTCTGTTAGGACCGTAGGGAAGCTGGGCACAAGGTGACTGGTTAAATGCTGGTTCGGTGGCTCTGCAGGTCTTGTGGGTCTGGAGTCAAGCCCATCTGAGTCCAGGCACCAAAGTGGCACACCAAAGCAGTACAGTCGGCCCCCAATTCACATTGATGTGGCTTCCAACCACATGGCTCTAAACTCCTGGAGAGCAGGGTCTGCACTATGGGTGGATGAGGGTGGGAGCTGGCCACCCTCTAGTTACCTGGGGAGTGGGGGAAAAGAAATCATACCTTTTCCATCAACCACACAAATCTGCTCTGCCAAGCCTCACAAAATGGATAATCAGCATCTGGCCAGCTGTTCACTGGTCAGTCTCCCACTTCTTGGCCTCTCCTCTAAGCAAGTACTCCATCTACCTCTCTAGCCTTTCTTCTGAAGTTCAAGGTGTCAGAATTTTCATCTGTGTCTGTTTTATTTGTCTCTTGTATCTTTGTTGTAGAGAGTCTGTGTAGTGCATCTGCCTAGTCTGCCATCTTGCTGGAAGTTTATAGTCTTTTCAAATTGGCTTCTTTCACTTAACTATATGCATTCAAGGTTTCTCCATATTGTTTGGTAGCTTAATAACTTGTATCTCTTTTTTGCTGAATAATATTAAATTTTATGGATGTGGCACAGTATGTTTGTACATTCACCAAACAAAGGACATCTTTTTGTTTTCCAGTGTTTTGCAAGTATGATTAATGTTGCTATAAACATTTTTGTGTAGGTTTTTTTTTGTGTGTGGACATATGTTTTCAACTAATTTGAGCAAATTCCTAGAAGCACAATTCCTATATCATATGGTAAGCCTATGCTTACCTTTGTAAGAAACTGCCAAACATTCTTTTAAAGTGGCTGTTCCATTTTGCATTCTTTCCTGTTTCTTTGTATGTTTTTTATTGTTGTTGAAAACCGGACATAGTAGATAATATGTGGTAGCAACTCTAGATTCTGATTCTCCCTTCCTCCCAGGTTTTTGTTGTTGTTGTTATTGCTGCTGCTGTTGCTTTTTGTTTCATTAGTAACTTGCCTGGATTAATTCTATGGAATCCCTCCCTCCACAGTGTGTGGCCACTGATACCTATATTCAATTCTAAAATGGTTGTTTTTGACATTTTTTATACAGCCTGATTGTTGATTTTTGGAACCTGGTAGCATAGAGGGTTATGTGTTAGGCTGCTAACTGTAAAGTCAGTAGTTCAAGTCCACCCGGTGCTCCATGGGAACAAGATGAGATGTCTGCTTCTGAAAAGATTTAAAGCCTCAGAAACCTTATACAGGGGTGCTATGAGTTAACATTGACTCCACTACACAGCACCACCATTGTTGCTTTTGGGGAAGAAATTTTACTGGATTTCCCATCTAACCATTCTAGAAATCCACCAGAATTGTTTGACTTTTGTCTGTTCATTCTTGACCCTTTTGGAAAAAAATCAAGGTCAGTTTTGATTCAGGAAAGGGAGAATGGAGAGGCAAAAATCTAAGCAAGAAAATGGAAAGCATTAATCACAACAAGAGCCAAAGAACACTTTTGTCTTATTTTATGTCAAATCTTAAATTTGTAGCTGGAAATTAGTTGAAGTCACTGCTGAGTTTTTTCTAAACTCTGGAAGCAGAAGTTTTAGGTGATTATGGGATAAATCATCTGGAATTTTAAAAATCATTTTTATTTGTTTTTTTTAAAATAATAGTGTTTTTGGAGTTAAAGTTTTCCAATGAATCTTTATTCTATGTTGTTGTTGTGAAGTGCTGTCGAGTTGGTTCCGACCCATAGCGACGTTGTACAGGGTTTCCAAGGAGCAGCTGGTGAGCTTGAACTGCCAACCTTGCAGTTCAAACGGCTTTGCAGTCTGGTGCATTAACCCACAGCGCCACACCAGGACTCCATTCTTCATTCTATAGCTAGCTACTAATTTAGGCACAATTACTTAGGGGTTGGTGGTTCAAACTCACCAGCTGCTCTTGGAAACCCTATACAGGGTGCCTATGGGTCAGAACCGACTCGACAGCACTTAACAACAACAACGAAAAAACATTTATAGAGCACAATACAAAAGAAGAAATGCAATCTTACAGTTTTGTTTTCTTCTTCCAGTATCTAGAGGTACTCTATGGAAACCTTGGAAAGAAAGGGTTACAAAGCGACCTGCAACAGCCCATGCTTTAAGACCAGATCAGATGATTAGTGATGAATTTACAACAAATGCAAAGGTTTCAGAAATCCGAGATATGCTACAGGAACTTGTAGGCTCGTCACTGTTTAGTAAAATGGAAAACAATGCTATTAAATACATGTCATCAACAATAACTAACCTTTCTGAAGCTTTGCATATAGTAAATGAAGAGTTAAAAATTCAACTACCAAGTGACAATATACTTTTAGATGAGACAGATAAAACAGAAAAACAGTTCTCTGTAAAAATAATAGAAGATCTTAGCGAAAAAAATGAAATACTTCAACAGCAACTTCAAAACGCAGAAGAAAAATGTGAACAACTTATTCGATCCAAAGGTTTTCTAGAACAACAGTTACAAGTATTAGCAGCAGCATCCTTGGAAGTGTTGCCTAAGCCTTCTCAACAGTCATCTGTGTCCCTTGTCAAAGAGGATAATATAGAGGACAGTATGGACGCTATTTTGGCCAAGGAATTTGAAATTATTGCAGATGAGAGTCCAAAAAAGGGGACCAAAAGCCCTGGAATCAAATGGGACCTAGCTATTTCACATGCAGTTCAAGATAAAATGACTCCACATTCAATTAAACAACAGCGTACTTTACCTGATAAAACCCACAAACTATCTCCTGAAGTTATCACTGAAGATAAAGCTGGTATCCATCAAAAAGACAAGATTGACCAGTATCAATCACAAAATAGAATGCGCATAGAAAAAACACACATGGGTGAAACCTCTGGATCAAAACTGAGTGATGAGAAAGGTGAACAAAAAGATTCAAGGGACAAACCTGAGCCACATGCACTGGGAAAGAAGGGAAAAGTAATAAAACCCCCTTCTGAAGCCAAATCAAAGTTAACTACTGAATCAAAAGGCCAATACACACCTACTGACTCTTCCTCTATTGTAACAAGGAGACAAAGTGACAAAAGTGTAGCAGGTAGTAAGTGGGAGAGACTCAGGGTCAAACCTTATTATCAAGCTGACAGAAGAAAATTTTCTTCAGAGCTTTCCACAAGTGAGTCAAAGGACAAAGAGAGCAAAACTGAAATGAGTAGCCCAGCAGAGTCATTCAGGCCCATTCAATTTGAGAAGATGAAAGAAAAGACACACCATATTTCTCCAGAAAGAAAAACTGAGGAGAAAGAAATGTTAGCCTTACCCAAACAGGCCAAACCACATGAACTTGTCAAATCATATTCAAGAACAGCTAAAAAGACTTCAGAATTTGCAAGCACAGTCAGCAAACTCAGTGAACAGAGCAGCCTAGAGGAATTTCAGAAAACCATAATGACTTTCCTAAAAGAAAAAATTGATAATGTAGGAAAACCTTTTGATCAAAAGACTGAGCTGACAGAAGAGTTATTATTAAAAAGAGCAGAAGCCAAAAAATTAGGAATCATAAAGGACAAATTGGAGGAATACTTCCAAAAGGTGGCTGAAATCATTACTAAAACCCTGAAGAAATACAAAGATATGAAAAGGGCAGGACAAGATGGCGAGAAACTGAAGCAATCAAAAGAGGTAGGCTCATTTAGGCCAGAATTACAGACTCAAAAGACATCAACTAGTGCAAAGTCTGAAATTAGCACCTTCCTCTCACATGAAAACATGGATCCAATAATTAACAACTTAGTACAAATGATCTTGACTGAAATAGAAAGTGACAGAGATGTTCCGGTAGTCTCAATATTAGGGAGAGACCACAAAGAGAAAGAACAAAGGCTTGGGGAATATTTGCAAGGGAGTAAAAAAAGTTCCGTCGTGAATCTCAAACAACAGTTGCGAGGTAAAAAAGATCTCTGGAAGGAAAGCCTTGAGATGGTATATAAGAATTTGGAGAAGGAAAAGACAGAGCATCAGATGAAAGTGGGAAAGCAATTCCAAGAGAAACAGAAACCCTGGCATGAAAAAGAGGCGAGGAAGGGACAGCAAAAACAATGGACTGAGCAGGTACAGAAACAAAAGCAAAGGGGAAAGGAAGAAGAATGGTGGCAGATGAAAGAGAAAGTAATACTCTTAAAGGAGGAGGAGAAAATGAAGCAGGTTCCGGAGGAAGCAAGACAGCTAGAGCTTACAAGAAGATGGGAGAAACAGGAGGAGAAGCAAAAGTTGAGAACAAGTTTTGAAAGACAGAGGCAGAAAGAGGTGATGGATCAGGTGACAATTAAGGAGAAAAAACCTGAAGACCTAGAAAGAATGTTACCATCTGACAACATCCAATCTTCTGGGCAGAAGAGCATGCTAAAAGATGCATCACACTTCTACCCAAGAAAAGAGATCCAAACAAGTCCAAAGTCATTTGAGATTCTTCCTGATGGACAGCACACCACACCAATCATTCCTCCCACTTCTATGCAGTCCTCCCCACCTGAGGTCTTCCCTGGTCTTGGAGACTCTCACTCAAAGTGGACCACTCTCTCTCCTGAGCAGGCCCAGGCGTTAGGGATGACCCTCGACACCACTCAGGCCCAAGAGCAAAGAATCACTTTTGCCCCCAAACAGGCCCAAACAGAAACAATCACTTTGACCCCTAGACAAGCTCAGTCACTAGGGATGACCCTCACCCCTGAGGAGGCTCAGACACTGGGTATTACCCTCACCCCTCAACAAACCCAGACAAGGGGGGTCACCCTCACCCCTGAGGAGGCCCAGGGAAGGGGGGTCACCCTCAACCCTGAGGAGGCCCAGGAAAGGGGGATCACCCTCACCCCTCAGCAGGCCCAGGCATTGGGGGTCACCCTCACCCCTCAGCAGGCCCAGGCACTGGGGATCGCCCTCACCCCTCAGCAGGCCCAGGCACTGGGGGTCACCCTCACCCCTCAGCAGGCCCAGGCAAGGGGGGTCACCCTCACCCCTGAAGAGGCCCAGGCAAGGGGGTACAGCCTCACCCCTGAAGAGGCCCAGGCATTGGGGATTGCCCTTACCCCTCAGCAGGCCCAGGCATTGGGGATCGCCCTCACCCCTCAGCAGGCCCAGGCACTGGGGGTCATCCTCACACCTGAAGAAGCCCAGGCAAGGGGGATCACCCTTACCCCTCAGCAGACCCAGGCAAGGGGGATCACCCTAGCCCCTGAGGAGGCCCAGGCAAAGGGAGTCACCCTCACCCCTGAGGA